ATGAGGAGTCTAATAATGCTTTGAAAAAGGAAAATGAGGATTTAAAGAAAGGAAATGAAGATTTAAAGAAGGAAAATGAGGTTTTAAAGAGAAAAACTTGTGATCTTGAAAATGTGATTTCCAAATTTACTTTGAGTAAAGAAAAATTTGATTCTATCTTAAAATCTCAAAGAAATATTTATGACAAATGGGGCATTGGATTTGTTTATTCTAAAAAGCAAAAGACTTTTAAGACTACCTTTGTAAGAGAAAGTCAATCATATCATCCTAGTATTACTTGCTATTTTTGTGGTGCAAATGGACACTTTTCTTATGCTTGTCCTTTAAAAAGATTAATAGCTCAAGGTAAAGTAAAACAAATTTGGGTTCCAAAAGGAACCATAAAAACTAACCCCCATGGACCCAAGCAAACTTGGGTACCAAAAATCAAAACTTAATTTTGTTTTGTAGGAAAAGTTGATGGCAAAGTCATAAGGAAAGCAAAGTAGATCTTAAAAAGGACTTATGCCTCAACAAGAATGTTGGAGTGGAAGTGCAAAGGAAATTTGTTTTTGAATGCTCCACTCATGTGCTCAAATTGGTATTATTTATTTTATTGCATTTATTCATTGAGTATAATTACTTCAATTTGTGTATATGTGTTCACTCTTTGATATATATGCTTGTTGAATATGATATCATTTGATGTGATATATATGTGTTCACAGTCGGCTCAACCCAAAAAAAAATCGAGAGTCTTCTGTCTCTAAGCCACAGCCGGCTCTAGGTTTACCAGCAGGCTCTAGGTTCACCAGCCAGCTCAACCTGCAGGCGACCCTACCCGCACCAGCTCTTCAGCCGGCTCTGCAATTATAGCCGGCTCTCTTGCAGATTTTTAAGGCTCGGGTTTCTCTCTCTCCCCGCACAAACCAACCCAAATCTGTTTCAAACCAGCGACCTCTCCTCTCCCAAAACTCGCCATTCACTCTCTCAATCACCAAAATCCCTCCAAATCTCCAAAGCCCATCCCTTAAACACTCAAATACCTTCAAATCCTTGCCTACCCAACACAAAACCTCAAGCTTTTCACTTCAATTTGTGTGGGATCTGCTGTATTTTTGGTGTGGTTGTTGGGATTTCTCTCTCATGGCTTCAAGAAGGGTTGGAAGTAAAAGGAGACAAGTGGGTAGTTCTAGCACTGGTGGTCAAGCTCAAGAAGAAGAAGGTAACATCTCCCAATCAAATCTCTTTTTGGATACCCAAGCCTCTGCAAAGTATGAAAGTATCAAGAATATGGCTGTTTTATCTTGCAATTGTGTAAAATTCAGTCAATTTCCTCAAGGAGATATGCGTGTTGAACAAATTTTTAGAGAACTTGGGTGGAAGGATTATGTAGAAATGAAAGAGCATGTGTATTATGAAGTTGTTCATCAATTTTATGCTAATCTGAAACCAAGAGGGAATAAATGCAAAACTATGGTTGCTGGGGTGTCATTTTAGTTTTCTCCAAAGGATATTTGTGCTGTATTAGATATACCTGAAGGAGGAGATGATGAGTTTCTAGATGTGAATCATGCCTTAGTTAGAGCCACAATTGCCCCCAATTGCACTGAAAATCAAATTAAAGTGGGGTCTCTTTCACCAGAAAATAGAACATTGCAGTGGATTATATCTCGCATTATTGCTCAGAGGAAGGGTTCTAAATCTTATGTTTTTGCCAGTGATCTTCCCTGGTTTTACTATCTTCTTAACAGAAAAAGGGTGAACCTAGGAAGATACATTTTCCGGAGCATAATCAAGCCTTACTCACCAACTACAGGACTTCCTCATGGTTCTTTAATTACCAGATTGGTGAAGAGGAACAATATTGATCTTACCTCCTTTAGGTTCAGAACGGTTCTTGGTGGGACTACACTTACCAAAACCTCTTTTGAGAAAATGGACTGTTTGTTTAGAAATGGCATTTGGATAAAGAAAGGGGAACAAGAAGGGGATAAAGAAGAAGGTGATACAGATCAAGAAATGGTAGAACAAGGGGCAGAAGAACATGAAGATGACAGCCCAAGACCATTTCGAGCCTCCATGCAAAGAACTAACCGTGAAACCATGGACTTAATGATATCTGAGATGCAGCAGCTGCACACTGACTTTTATGGTTTCTGGATAGAAATGAGAGGGAGAATGACTAACGTGGAAGGAAAGCTGACTAACGTGGAAGGAAATCTTGATCGGCTTGTTAACCATTTTTTTCCTCCACCCCCACCTGATGCCACCTAACTTGATATTTCTTTAGTTTGGCTAATCTTTAGGATGGACATCTTAGGGTTATGCATTTTATGTTTTATTTGACTATGGATATGTCTTGAACCTTTTTATCTTGTTTTATGAATGGAAATGGCATCACTTGTGTTATCATGCTTTGTGAATGGTTGTTTATGATTTTGATGATAATATGCTCTTATTGGGGGGGAGTTTATTGGTTGATGATTGTATTCATGTCTTTGGTTGTCTATGGTGCTATATTGATGATGATTGATGATTAGATGCTTTAAAGGTTGATAGCATGATTAAGGGGGAGCCTTTTGTGCTTAAATTACTTTTCTTAATGGTGCTTTTTGATGAATGACAAAAAGGGGGAGAGAATATGCTGAATTTAATGTCATTTTCTAGAGTACCTTGTGCTGAAATTCTGGTTAATATTGAAGTATTTATGTGCTTTCATTAATTAATTCTCAAAGTGTTTTGTCATCATCAAAAAGGGGAAGATTGTTGTACCTATGATTTTGATTATTACAAAACACATTTGAATGACTAATTGGTTTATTTAAGTGTGTAGTTAAGTTGCTAAAAGATTGCAAGTAAACTTGGATTGCATTAAAAATAGACCAAAAGGATTCAAAATGGTAGAGAGCCGGCTCTTTAAAGCTACAGCCAGCTCTGGTGAAATGGAAGTGTAGAGAGCTAGCTCTAGAAGCTGCAACCGGCTCTACAGGCAAAAATTTGACGACCGTTGCTTGGCGCACGCGAAGAAAAAATGCAAAGCCGGCTCCAACTTTATAGCCGGCTGTGAAGGTGCATTTAATGCACAACGGTCGAGTCATTTGAAGATTATTTAATGTATTTAAAGTCGGAGTTGCAAAATCGGCTCAAAGTTTTGCAGCCGTCTCTCGAGGAAAACAAAATGGCGGGCAAACCTGCATAGCCGGCTATGGAAGTGTAAGCCGACTCTGAAGAGCCGGCTCGAGAAAGCTAAGCCGACTCTCCTGACAAACCTGCAGCTTGAGTTTTGCGTCCTGTAGAGCATTTAATGACCTCCAACGACTAGTAACGGCTATTTTCGAGCAAGGGGGTATAAATATGGGTGGTAACAGATCTGAAGAGGTTTGGAGAACATTATATTGAATATCTTTATCCACCAACTTGTGCTTTAACTAGAGATTTTAATCTTTGAGAGATCTTTGTTTGTAATCATCTTCTTGTGCTATTAGTGAGTGATCTTGGGGGTGTGTTGATTCCTTCAAGAGTAATCTGTAGAGAGGATCTCTGGGTTTATCTTGTAAAAGGGTGAGATTTGAGAGAAACACCCTTATTCTTGTAAAAGGATTGAGTGGCTCCTTTAAGCGACCCTTGTTGGTGTTAGTGGAGAGTGTGGAGGAAATCCTTAGTGAGTGAAGCCAAGGTAGAGGACTAGGCTCCAAGTGGTTGGACTGAACCTCTATAAATCATTGAGCAAGCTCTTCTTCTCTACTCTCTTTAATTTGGGTGTTGTGGTTGCAAAAAGGGGAGAATTTTTAGAACTCCAATTCACCCCCCCTCTTGGAGTACATTGAGTCAACATAAATGCCATGTCATGTGCTCTGCTGTTTTTCTAGACATGTATAGTCGCTGCAATCTTGGGCTAATTGGAAGGTATCACAAAGATTTCCTTGGAACATCTTTCTGCCTTATAACAGACATATTCCTTGGCTCATAACGAGATGCTCCACACACTGGACAAGCAGTTAAATTCTTACTTTGCTCATCATAGTACAAGAAGCAATCATTGACACAAATATCAATTTTCTTGTACCCAAGTCCAAGCACATTTATCATTTTTTTTGCATTATAGAAATCCTTTGGCACCTTTTCTTGGTCCTCTGGACTCAACAACTTTCGACTCAATAACAATGCCATTTCCCAATTAGCAGCACTCATATTATAAAGAGTTTTCATGTTAAGCATTTCTGTCATCCATGAAAGTATTGTAACATCTTGTCCCCCAGCACCTATATGGACTTCTGCAGCATGCAAGAGATCATAAAATTCTCTTGCCTTACTATTTGGCTCCTCAGCTATTGGCCCGTCATTGTATTCAGACTGTGCACCTATTGCGTCAACTACCATTTCATGGTATAATGCATCTACCTCATTTCTAACAAACTCCATATTAGAAGATTCCCCTTCAAAGTTTCTTACTGTATTACTAGATGTCTCTCTATGAACATACCATGTATAATAGTTATTCATAAACCCATGCTTACACGAATGCACAGAGACAACCTCAGGATTCCCCTATTTTCTACATTTACATTTCGAACAAGGACACTTAATCTCTGATTTTGCTTCTGGTCTTGAAAATGCAAATCTCACAAAAAATTGCACCCCCTCTTTAAATTTATCAGTAACAAAACCACTATCATCCACACGACAATCTACCCAACTACGATCGTCCATCATTTAATTACCTAATTTGAATTTCAATTTAACAAAGTATATTAACATATCAACTAATAACCATACATGTCAATAACCACACATGTTAATTTTAATCTTAATAATTTTAAATTAAATTTCTTTATGTATATGAATTCAATATATAAAAACACTACTATATTCCAACAATCATACATATATTAATCTTAATATAAATAATTTAGTAACTTTATAAATAAATATATATTAAATATAAATAGTACTCTAGTTTAATTACCATATCGATTTTAATCTTAATAATTTGATATATAAAAATTCAATTTAAATATCATTTTAATTTAATAATAATGCACATTTCAATCTCAATATCAATCTCTTAAATTGAGCTAATTTGAAATATATAACAAATTTGCAACTATAAAATTCAATATAAATATTACTCTATTTCAAGATATTTAAACCTCAATCTCAATTTTAATTTCAAATTTAATAATCTAAAATCCATAACCTTGTATATAAAAATTTACTAAAAAAAAAACTATTCAAGTAAGTAATTAACGTACGAATTTCAATCTCAAAAGCTTGAAAGAAATAATAGTAATTTATTGATAATTTATACAATAATAATAATAATCTACACTCATCTACAAATAAAACAATAAAATTTTATATAAAAAAATCACAAAAATATCAATTACCTTTGTCAATCGAGACGGTAATGCTGTGGAGGCAATGAAGGCAGTAAAAGCTGGATTTTGACATACCAAAAATGAAATTAAAGTTTTGTAAACTAAAATCCAAGGAAAAAATAAAGAAAGAAACAAAAAAAAATGAAAAAAAAAAAATAGAGAGTGCTGCAACTTACAAAAGGCAGGATGGAGGTGTGTGGAGGCTTAGAGGTGATGGATCTTGCACCAAAACGCACGGATCTACAAAGAAATCTGAAAATGCCCGAATGTAAATCAAAGGGAAAAAAAAATTAGCACCAGATCTGCGCAGAGAGGGGCCAACTCATCGGCTTAGAGGTGATCACACAGCGGGGGCTCGATGGCAAGAAGCCAGAATCCGGCGGCACCGGCAAGAACAGGGTCGGAGAAAAAGAACCAGATCTGCCGCAGAGGAAGAAGAAGAAATGGGGGAAAGAAGGGGGGACAAGGAGTTAATGTCGAGTATATTCGACAGCATTGCTGTCGAATATACAGGGGAAACGACGACGTTTCTCATATATTGGACAGCAATGTTGTCGAATATATAAAAAACATAATCGACAGCCTGTTGGCTGTCGATTTTATATATCCAACAGCCAATTGGCTGTCGAATAAAACCATGTATTCGATAGAATAATTGTCGAATAAGTTTTTTGTTGATTATGAGCTAAAAAATCGTTTATCATCGACAATCAATCTTATTCGACAATATTGTTGTCGAATATAGCCTTTTATTCGACAGCTACTTGGCTATCGAATATGTTGTTGTCATTTTTGCCCAGTTGTCTAGTAGTGTGCCCAGACCCAGTTAAATAGAAAAAAATAGCCCAAACCATTGAATTTTGTAAATTCAGGATTTTTCTGATTTTATTTTATCCCATTTACTATTCCATCCCAGTTTTATTGTGAGTTTATGGAAACTAACTTTTTATGCGATTTTAAAATTTGTAAATTCTTTACGAGTTAACTTCACATTTTGACAACTATTTTAATGAGAGGTAGGTTTGAGTTTGGTAGCAACAAAATCTCCATATAGAGAGAGGGATAGCTGACATATAAATATATATATAGGGTAAAGTGTGATTAATATTCTTATCTTTTAATTAGTATTTTAAAAAATCAATGATTAGTAGTTTAATTGTTTGTTAATTATATAAAATTTAACATTGTTAAATACATATTAATAAATAAAGTTTTTTTTATCAAAAGTTATAAATATTATATTAGTATAAAAATTAACATGAATAATTTATATAAATAAAATTTTTAATATAAAAATTAATTTTAAAAAATATAAATTTGTTAAATACATATTAATAAATAAAGTTTTTTTTATCAAAAGTTATAAATATTATATTAGTATAAAAATTAACATGAATAATTTATATAAATACAATTTTTAATATAAAA